CTTTTACTAGTTTTTTTTCTGACCCCCTCTGATTCCCGCTCCCGACAGAGCAGCCGGAAGGGCGATTACTACGGACGAGTGCATTAGCACTGGCGCCCCGTTAAATAAATCGGCCGTGGGTGTGAGCATCGGTGCGTGGAGGGCCGTTTTCCCTAACTGCCCCCACTCCAGGGAACCCCCTTCGGGCTTTCCCCCACCGATCCGTCACAATGTATATTAATTATTCACTCATTATAAATTGCGTTATATTTTTAGCTATTATTTTATGTATTGGTTGCGATTAATTATTTCTTCTATTAAAACACTTATAATTTGCGTATCTAAAAATGATTAAAAATACGATTTCACGGGAAAACTTGTGAAAAACTAATTAATAATAAATCAAAGCGTATTTTTATTAATCGAACTAATATATATTTACTACTAAATAAAGCGTAATAAAAGAATAACTACTTTTTGAGCGGGAAAAACCCATGAATCTCTGGGTATAAAAGGGCGTGCAGCAGCGGCTGCGGGCGCAGAACAATCTTGGAAGTACTACGTGCCGGACCTCTTAGGAAGCGACTAACTGGAGCAGTTTTAACTGGTAAGAGCCTACAAGATTCTTAGTTTTGACTGGACAGCGGGTATCAGCCATTTGGATACATGGAGAGTGCTATGCTCAGCCCCAGAAGAAACTAAGACATCAACGAGAGCTCGCCAGTCACTCATACATATTTCTTATTTTCCTGAATTACTAATTCGCCGTCAGATTCTCGGAGTTCGCTCTGGGTAGTTTAGTAGCCAGCTAACGCAGGCTCCTCATCATTGAGCGGCTTGGTCTCTGAAGCCCGTGTCTTTTGGGTGGCGTTTCAGTAATTTCAATAAATAATTAAAGTTCAGTCATTTTTATTTGCTACCCTGTTGGTCACACGTCGGTCACTTGATTCTTGCATCGTTGGGTAGTTCTAGTAGCCAGCTAACGCAGGCTCCCCAATTAAGCGATCAGGTTTTGGGTGTCGATTTTTGCTCTGACAAAAAGGGCCATGAACTAATTAGTTTAAAGTCAAACAAAGAGTAACTGTTCCACGTTTAATATAAATTTTAGAGTTTTTGTAATTAACCAAATATTGTTCTGTCAGTTTTGTTAGGATCTAGATCCATTATTAAATTGCGTTATATTTTTGCGTTGCGTATATCATTATAAAACCGCGTAATTGAAGTAGTTAGCTACCGTTCTGCGATTTGCGTCAACAACAAGTCTATTATACTCCAATTTGCTTATAGAATTCAGTCACATATACATTTTTATATTTACTAAAGTAATTGTTAATTATAACTCTTTTTCTCATCATTATTTGAATAAACCTAATTAATGAAAGGTATTAACCTGTAGATTTCACTCTTTAACCACACGCCACCACGATCCCGCATTCTTTTAGAATTAGTTATAGTAAAAACGAGTCGCTTAATAGGCAAACGCCGCTCTTTGCTTCATAAGCGCTGTAAAATACCAGGTTCTAGTACCAGGGACGTTACACAAATGTAAACAAAGAATCGACACCTGGACTCGATAACTGCAACAAAATCGGGACCCAGGCGTTGCAACAAAATCGGGACCCAGGCGTTGCAGTTATCGAGTCGAGGTGTCGATTCTTTATTTACATTTGGCTCGCGTCGACCGCTAAACGTAGGAAAGGACAGAGAGCGAACGAGAGAGGCTATTTAAAAGTTAAGAATCGACACCTCGACTCGATAACTGCAACAAAATCGGGAACAAGTGTTGCAGTTATCGAGTCGAGGTGTCGATTCGTTGTTTACATTTGGCTCGCGTCGACCACTAAACGTAGGAAAGGACAGAGAGCTAACGTGAGGGGCTATTAAAAATTAAATTTTTAGAAAAGTCTGACGAGTAATGGTCTTTTGGTTCCATACAAAATCGCACCTCAATACATTCGAAAAAACAAACAATATTACTACATAAACAAATGTTGTTCAAATTATGCCGTGTTTGGTCTTATTTTGATCAGGAGAATCTCACAATTACATTGGTAAAAGTAATATTTAGCAAAACCAAAAAATAAAAAAATTTTACTGTTGCATTACGTCCTGCCGATTGTTTTCTTTCCTCGGACCTATTGCATTACTATTGTCACATCGATACGCCGGTTCGGATTACATTACATACGCTGCTCGCTCGTCAAGTGTCAAAATTCAAGGGGGAACCCCCTAAGTGGTGGGGATAGTAACGTTGCAGTTATCCAGTCCATCTTTACTGTATTTTGGTAAAGGAAAATGTTGTTCAGAATCGCCCCACCTACCATCCCTTTTCGGGACCCACACTAATTCCGGGACACTCTGTATATTTATGATCTTATTGGAATTCAAAGTTAATTTGTTAACTAGAGAGATAATTATCATGAGGATATTATTATACAATGAATGCAATAGATGAAAAGAATGCTTTCATTTGGATAGTATGAATTATTTATTATTGTTTACAAAAACATAAATGTGACCACATGGTAATACTATCGTGGAGACGGCAACCTTACAGCAGCAAATCTTTTGTACAGACTTTTCTCCTAATTAATAACATACAAAAAGAATAAATCGAAATTAAACAGCTGCAAAATATACTTATTATAATGTACATTTGTGAAATTTAATTTTAAATTAATAGACAACAAAATAAAATGATATTGTGTGGTATATAGTATAGTAAAAATAAGTTAAAAAATATATCTTCCATTAAATTCTAAAAACTAAAAACTAAAAAACAATTTTAATTAATAAATTAGTATCAAAAAATTTAAACATTGTCTGAAAATGTTTTATCGTATTATACCTTCTATCGTATTATCTTCACTTATATGTAATTTGTGTAAAGCCTTTGTGCAAATACTGCTGCTTTTGTCAATGGAAGTTGGAGCATCACCTAAAACGCATAAGTATATTTAAAATATATAGCAATGGTTCTATTGTAATGATAGATCTGGAAACTCGCTAGATTCTATATTGTAAACAAATATATGTCTATGTCTATTTCTAATCATTTTAACTGCATGAACTTTATGTGGTTCTTTATTTTTGATTACAGATAATTTAACAAAACTAATTGCAGATCAAAAAACAAATTATAAAAGATTATTGAATAATGAAAAAATAAGGGAGTATACGAAGACGCACAAATATATTGAATAATGAAAAAATAAGGAGTATACGAAGACGCACAAATATGGCAAAGAATAATAAAATAAGAACAGCACAAGATAATTTAATGTCTGGAACACTGCCATTAGATCAATTTTTACGTTTATTTAGCAAAGACCATAAACAAGAACAATATGAAAGTAATTTAATGTTAACAGGTATGCGTTGAATTCATATAAATTATATTCATGCGTTCATTCGTTAACACCAGAACTATTTAACCAATCAAAATGACTGGTTTAACAGTTCTTTAATTATATCACAAAATTTATTAAAATGTTTTTACCAAAATGTGTGTTAATTTTTATCGGAACGAATATCTACTACATATGCTGGTATATGTTTCATTCTTTATTTACCTACTTTTCTACTTCATTTTCAACTTGGAAGTAAATGTACATAAAACGTTGATAGCTCTAGTGTTAAGTAACTGCTATGAAATGGTATGTAACACTGTACTTTATTCTGAAAAAAATTTACTACAGTTTACATGTTACTTTACAGACTCTAACAAAAATGGTGAATGCAATGAACCTGTTTCAAAAACATTCTTTACAGGTATTTTCTTTTCAATGCAAACAATATATCTTTGTTCTGGTGAAAGAAGTATAAGTTCTGATACAGAAGTTTCTGCTTTTTAAAATTTTTTTAATGCATAAGGAGAGAACTAAAAGTTATGCTATTTGTTTGTTGCTTTTTTTTTTCTTCCAAAAAAGTAGGTTTATTAGACAAATTTAGTTTATGACAAATTTTGATATTTGCATATACAAATACCGTTACAATCATTTCTAGATAGACTTTGAAATTGTCACTTTTTATATAGGATATATAATTCTTCACAAATTCAATACCAGTTTTAATTCATTATTGCAAAAATATAACACTTACACTTTCTGCGTCAGACTGCAAATATATTTTCTTCGCTATTCTTATTTTTGTGTACTTTTACTTTTTAGAAAATATATGCACAGTGTCCAGTGACGAACATAATGAACTTCTTCCAGAAATAACATTCTTTGCAGGTATTTCCTTTGCAAAAAAAATAATATGTATATTCTTCATTATTCTTTTTTTTGTTTACCTTCTGTTTTTTTCAGAAGAGGAATTCACTGCATTTGTTAAGAAGCCCTACAAAAACCAAGAAACACAAACTACATCCCCTTTTAATACAGATGGTACATGTACTATGCTTATTTTCTTTTAAATTCATCATTTACGTCTTTTCTATTTAATGTCATCATTTTTATCTATATTGTGTTTCAGATTACAGTGGCATAATATTGGCTGAAAATAATGTATCTACCCAAAACATGCAAGGAATAACTACAGATATAAAGAGTAACTATATAATCTTTATTAATTATAACTTATTTATGTTTGTATAATATTACATGAGATAATTCATTTAAACGACGATTGCATTTCTTTACATTTTCATTTTTTCTAGATGAGGATTGCTAGAAACCTTTTTCTAGAAAAGAAATTCATAGTAGTAACATGAGCCCGCAAATTGTTTGGAAAATATATGTACAGCGAGTAAAAAAAGTTTACGTACCAACACGCGCAATTTCAAAGAGTACGAAAAATGTATGAAAATAAAGAAATAGCAGTTTATTTATAATGAAATACGAAGTATGAACTTTATTTTTGCTTATGTTAAAATACAACCTAAATTTTTATATACAGAAGTTAACAGCATACCGTGACAAAGATTCATACCAAGAAGGTTCGCATACAAAAATTTTCTTATATATGTATATTACATGGTACGAAAAATTAAATTAGAATTTTGTCGCATCATTTTTATTTTTTGTCACATTTCGCAAACAATTATACATCGAATTTACTAACTTTTTAGTTTCTTCTATGGATATTTTATCCCATCCTTCTTGTCCACGCATAATTAGCTGTACCGATAATAAACGAACATATAATCAACTAATTAATTACTCGCTTAATATTGTTTGTTTAATTGTTTATATTGATATACAGGGTGTATAAAAAAGGTCGAAACCCTTGAATATTTCGAAAAATATGTTTTATCAAAAAATGTTTCAGACAAAAGTTGTAGGGTTTAAAAAGTTCTATTTACTGGCAATATCATTTTGACCTTGAAGAGTCACTGGAAGGTCGCGCGAAGGTCACTTCAATTTTTTTAAATGAAATACCCTATATATTTTTGCATATTCTTGTAGCTTATCTCGAGAGCTTTCTAAAACACTATGATAAAGTATTTTTTGATTAAAAATCAGTTTATCGTATTTCGGGAGAGAACGGCTGGAACTCGCCGCTGGTCGCCCAGTTTATCGTATTTCGGGAGAGAACGGCTGGAACTCGCCGCCGGTCGCCCATTATATTGTATTTCGGGAGAGAACGGCTGGAACTTGCCGCCGGTCGCCTGCTAATGAGGAGAGTACGGGAATTCTATCCTGGCCGCCCTTATTTATTTACTTTTTTTTTAAACAATTGTATATTTTCTTTACGCCAGTCAATTTATCTCATTATTCTGTGCATAAAAGTATTAGGGTAAGATTATTGAAAAATGAATATTTTGTGAGATATTTTGTAATTTGTCAAAATTATTAGGACCTTCAAACCTTAATAACTCAAAAAGTTTTTAATCAAAAAATACTTTATCATAGTGTTTTAGAAAGCTCTCGAGGTAAGCTACAAGAGTATGCAAAAATATATAGGATGTTCCATTTAAAAAAATTGAAGTGACTTTTAAGTGACCCTTAAAGGTCAAAATGATATTGCCAGTAAATAGAGGTTGTAACAACACCGAACATTCTCGACCGCATGGAACAATCGAGAAGACCGGCTCGCGAAACGAGCGCGTGGCTCGCCGACCGCGGAGCCGCCGAACGTTCGCGAAGCCACGAGAGCAGGCCGAGCATAGCAACGCGACGTTGTTGACTGTCCGCGGACTATAGCAACGCGGTAATATAAATAAATATCGGTTTCGGAGCCGCGATCGCGGCAGATTCCTGCTGAGCTCTTTTGGGAGAGAACGAGGTAATTACCACGGTCGCCCTTTAGAGTCACGGGAGAGTACGGGGGCTCTTAACTGGCCGCCCTGGTATGGAGAGGACGGCAGGAACTTGCCGCCGGTCGCCTACCAGGGAATGGACGGTGGAACCACCCGGACGCCCGAGGGAATCCAGAGAGCATCTCCTGGGTTGGAGAGAACGGCTGGAACCTACCGCCGGTCGTCATCCAGGAGGAGCAAGCGGGAGAATACTCTCTGGTTCGTGTTAATAGGAGAGAACGGCTGGAACTTGCCGCCGGTCGCCCAGTCTATCGTATTTTCGGGAAAGAACGGCTGGACCTCGCCGCCGCGCCGGTCGCCTACTAATGAGGGGAGTACGGGAATTCTATCCTGGCCGCCCTCGGAATGGAGAGAACGGCTGGATTATTCGCCGGTCGTCTGTATAATTGTATAATTGACAGATTTTGGAATTATATGTTTGTGTTGTATAAAACCAAATATGAATAAACATTGTTATTTGTTTTCCACAGAATCCTTTGAGAAGTTTTCCTTTGCGATTATCCTTGCAACAATCCATCCTACAATATACATTTTTGCATGTAAAACGGAGAATAGTAATATCATAATAAGTAATGGTATTATAATACCAGAAGTAAATAAATAGAATTTATTTGATAAAAACATTTTCGTTTAAAATTAAATTAAGTCTTGGATCAACGTCACAATATTCCGGTATTTTACTGCTATTCGATAACGATGTTTAACATTTTTAGGAATTAAAACTGTATTTATGGTAATGAGAATCCTACGACTATAAAACGAGCATAAAAACTATTAAATATCTGCAAGCAAAAAAAAATCCATCCTACAATGTTGGCGCCCAACGTGCAGGCCGATACCCACGACTCCTCCAGCTCCGACGTCCAGTACTCCTTTTCCGAAATTCAGGACTCCATTCCGGATCTTCAAAATTCCAATTCCACCGATCACGACATCAGAGACACTCCTTTACCTTCCCCGGTCCAGCTTTCCACAAACCAATTCACACAACTTTTGGATTCTATAACTAGCAGAAACTCTGTCGAACGGAGCAGTTTCTCAAAATGCACGGCTCGTTTCGATGACGGTTATGAGCACGGAAAGGTCAACGCGTTTATGTCGACAATTTCAATTTTCAAAGAAATTGAAAACATTAGCGATGCCAATGCATTGAAAGGGTTGCCCCTTCTCCTGGAGGGACAAGCTTCAATTTGGTGGAAAGGCGTGCAAAACTCAGTCGCATCATGGCAAGAAGCGGTGGAGCTTTTGAGAAATACGTACGCACCATGACGTCCGGCGTATCAAGTATACACAGAATTGTTCCGGACCACGCAGAACGAAAACAACCCCACTGACGAGTTCGTTAACAAGAAGCGAGCACTGCTGTCAGAATTAACCGAGCCGCACAACGAAAGGGTGCAGCTTGACATGATCTACGGGCTGTTACGTTTGTCGCTACGGACAAAAATCCCCCGGGAGTCTATCTCAAATTTCCAGGAATTAATCAAGCGGGCTCGCGAGATCGAAGGATTGGAGAAAGAAACAAGGAAATCCCGCGCAGCAGAGCACAAATTCACCGCTCCGTACCCAAAAGATCGTCGTCGCTGTAATACTTGCAGACACTTTGGACACACAAGTATTCAATGCGGCCAACGGCGATATCAGGCTCCTCCACCAACAGCAAGACGACCTCCATCCGACGCAGGAAGGAACCAGCCGCAAAACGAACCAACAGCGCTGCGTTGCTACGGATGCGCTACGGATGTTGCTACAGAAAGCTCGGTTACGTGCGGAGCAAATGCCCTGACTGCTCGAAGAACACAACGAAGAACGCTACACACGCCGCTTTTTGCTCCATAAATACAACAGCAAATACTCCACGACCCGCGGTTGGACTGTCCATTGCTGGTGAGCAGGGGCACGCATTCTTAGATACTGGCGCGAAATGCTTAATAGCGAGCCAAAGCCTGTACGAGCTACTTAAGAAGAAAGGGGTGCATTTCGAACCAAAACGGATGCTGATCGCCCTTGCCGACGGCCACCCACGAATCCGCAACATCCTGAAGACGAAATTGGACATTGGTTTACAAGGTCGAACTATGAACACCACGTTTATAGTTCTTCCCGAGAGTAAAGACAACCGGACTTTGTTGGGGGTAGATTTCATTGATGCTGATCCCTCAACGAAGTTGGAGTTATGTTGACGCCCCGGAAACTCACTACGAGTTCTTGGAGGAGCCGAAAATCGAGGATCCAACTGCAAACAAGGGGGAGAGGAAGGCAGAAGAAGATGTAAACGCTATGGAGTGGGAAGAGATAGAGGAACTCGCGAAACCACCACCGCCGCTGTTGAGTCCGATCCGAGATGACTCTTCCACCCCCATGGATGCATACCTGGAGGACACCACCGAGGAACCAGTACTGATTTCTATCAAGGAAGCTCCAACAGGCTGGCCTGGATTCGAAGATTTATTTGAAAAATGCCTCCGTTCATTCGAGAAACTGGAGTGACTAGAGATAAACGCAGTCGAAATCGAGGACATCCGGGAAGAAGAGGTAACCAACACGAACACCGAAGAGAAAAACCAACTAAGAAATCTCTTAAAGGAAAACGCGGATTTATTCCGCACAGCTGATGCACCCACGACAGAAGCGGTCCACCGCATTGAGACGGGAGACCATGCACCAATCGCGGTACCCCCGTATCGCATTCCACCTGCGAAACGCGACCAGCTCCAAAAGGAAGTTCAGAAGATGCTGGAGGGTGGTATCATAGAAGAATGCGAATCGCCCTGAGCTGCTCCTGTCGTCTTGGTACCGAAAAAGGATGGCGGCATTCGAGTTTGCATCGACTACCGAAAACTCAATGCGGTCACCGTCACTGATTCGTACCTGATGCCTCGAATCGACGATTTGCTGCATGCAGCAAAGAAGCCCAGTTTCATGTCTTCGTTGGACTTGCAGTCCGGTTACTGGCAGATCGGCGTAAGGGAAGAAGACCGGGACAAGACCGCCTTCACGACGCCGTTTGGAATCTTCCGTTTCAAGCGAATGCCTTTCGGACTCAAAAACGCTCCTGCAACGTTCCAACGGCTCATGGACCGCATGAAGGCGGGCCTGGGATCCCGCAATATACTTGTTTATCTAGACGACTTGCTGGTACTATCCTCGGATTTCACAGAGCATTTAGGGGACCTGAAAGCAGTTTTCGACCGACTGAGGCATTTTGGTTTAAGGATGAATAGGCAA